CGACATTAATTCAACTGACGCTACCATATATGATATATCTTTCCACCTTATTCCTCACTCTGTTTGTTTCAACCTGAAATGGAGTGAAGGTGTTTTTTCACTCTTTTTGTTGTCAAGCTCATCAAGTATTTTGAATTGAATTATGTTTTGTTTTTCCCCCGTCTTAATAAAGAAAACTCTGGTTTCCCTGTCATGCATTAATCAACATCAAAACAGACTCAAAGAGGCAGAAACCATTTCTGAAATGTTTAATTCTTCTTTCTGGAAAAAAAAAAAAAAGCATCCATCGATCTTACAAATTAGAGAAACAAAACAAATGAAGCCTAGCCTTAAAAGGTCTCATTTAGGGTCAAATTAATGCGCCTGCAAATAAGAACATAACATACCAGGGACACTTGGGGTGAAGAAAATAGTCCAGTGTTTCATCATTTTCCGCTTGACTGCTCGGTTGATGATACATTGATACTTACTTGAGATGCTGTAGCTCTCTCCCTACAAGAACACTGATTTCTATGACAAATGTCCTCTTGCTTGGGTTGGGGGTGACTCTAGACGTCCTTGAATTGTGTTTGTCTCACTAGTTAGGTGACACTAGGTAGACCTGGTCCCCAACCTATAAGAAAACCCCCTAGCGTTTATTTTATTAGATCATACACTCGCTGATCACAAGTCATAACTGACCCTTTATATTTTTAATCTGGTTTTATCTGATTATATATATTTGACTGGTCTATCATTAGTAAAGCTTTTACTTTTTTTTTTTTATTTGTTAAAATTCTTCCTCGAAGAATCTCTATTTGAATACTGATCAGTTATGAGCAAATTAAAGAAAAAAGTTTTTCCTTTGAAGCAAACCTATAAAAGAAGGTTTTCACAATTCACAAACCCCAACTTGGAAGTGTTTCTTAAAATACAAAGTTCATCAGAATTAATTCTTTATTAAAAGCATGACAAACGCAGCCTAATTCCCTTGGGCATGCAGTTTTATTTATGTAATTGTTTAGATAATCATCCTTAATGTTTGAGTAGACCAAGAATCGGTCCACTCCTTTTATTTATTTATTTCAAGGTAAGATTTACACACAAGTGTGGTCTGGTGGATGGCAGGGCGGAAGAACAATATTTGTAAGCATACGGTCAACTCTGTCTTGGAGATAGCACCTTATACACTGTAGATTTGGTGCGGGATCTGTGTTCAAACCCAAAATTGACAATACACTGGAAACTGGATGTCTGGATGCTATTCTCCATTCCCCATTCCTACCCACATTACATGCACACGTTGTTGGACCAGAGAGCAGAAGACAGAGTTGACCGAGTATTTGCTGCTAAGTAGTTAGTATAGTTCATTATTTTTTGTTTTTTAACAACTATATATCACCTTTTGCATCTTCTAAAATTGCACAGCAAGAATGTCAAGTTAATTACGCCTAACAATTAATTCATCAAATCCTTTGCATTCCCGAAGATATATATATATATATATATATATTAACAAGTAATTCTTTAAACCACCCAAATTCTAATTGATCTTTTAAATCGTTATTTTTAAAAGAATGGTAAAAATAATCTTACTTTATTAAAGTCGATTGCTTATTTTATTTATTTATACTTTTGGCATAGTTAATTATTATTAGGCCTAAAACGTATGTTTTGTTTTGAGCTCAGATTTTCTAATCGCGTACAAACAATGATTGAATACACTCCCAAAGCACTATGCACTTTGCATTCAATGTTAATATAGATTGAATTCATTACCATCACCATCATCATCTGAACTTTATTTCTTCATATTTGTTTAGATCTGCTACATGAATCCTGTTTGGCCAATCTATTCTATTTCTACTATTGATTGTTAAATTTCAATGTCGCTGCCAAACGGACACAACCCTCCTCTTATAAGGGTTATGGGATGAGACGAGCATCAGAAGCGTAAAGACTAAAAGACACCCTTAAAATTTCACAAATTAAAACATTTCTCTAGTCGATTGAATGAAGGGAAAATGCAGCAGTAAGCAGAAATGTCCATTAAGTAATTGGATCACCGCTCCACAGTCTACAGTGTTTACTGGGCATGCGTGCAATTAATGTAATTCATCCACTGCTGAGGGTCGTGCCATCCCATCCTAAGACGTCGGCGTCAAGCGATACCGGAATTCAGTTCATCAGCTGAGAAACCTGAAGGAGATTCCCACGTAGTCGTAGATATTGGAATATATTAATTTAATGGAGAGAGAGAGAGAAAGAGAGAGGTATGAGATCAGTGTATCACTTATGAGTTATCAGCTGGTCTGGTGATTGAGGGTGAAATACAAATACTGAAAATAAGCAAGGTCAAAGAAAAAACGAAAAGAGTCATAAGCAAATTCATAGGGATTGACGAACAACTTACGTCTTCCCGACAGGAGGTCTCGGGATGCCCCACATCGACGGACCGACTGCAGATTCCAACAACCGATGTGCGTGTGCGTGTGTGCTTCCCTGTCTCTTCTTACCTCCTTTTCTTAACAAAAAATATATGTAATTATTTGCTTTCCCATTGGACGGATTTAACCTCCAAATTCTTGTGAATTACCTGCCCTCTTCCCTAGCCCTAATCTGAATTAACACGATGGCATGATAAACATAACATAACAACGTTAACGTAAAAATTAATGTGGGGCGCGTTAGTTATGATTTATGAAACCACCTGTGAGGCTGTGACCTGTATATATGTTGTTGAATGACTTCATTCTGATTTTGGAGCAGCTAGCGCACTTCCAACTTCTAGATCATTTCAATATTCCCCTTCTAAATTTAGACATTGGCATCCATTCTCATCTTATAACAATCAAGGATAACATTACTTAAATTAAACAAAAAACACTTTTCAATACTACTTTGGTTTTGTTATTCTAATCACGCAATAATAATAAAGTTGTTTTGTATCCGTGTATCGTATTAGTATGATTTTTGTTGTAAACAGATCCTGTTCCATCTAACCCATAATTTGGAAGTTGTCTATGAGTAGGGTCAGGTGAGGATGATGGATAAATTAAAACACTCTGCTAAATCATATATACCACCAGCTGCTAGCCCTATCAAATGTATAGGGGGGGGGGGGCTCAAAATTCACGACATGCCGCATGTATATATAGACAATTAGGTCTCGGGTCTCATTGTTCGTTCATAGCCAGACGGAACTTGGAGTTTGATATGATTGGACAACGTTTGTTTTGTTTTTGTTATTTGTTCAACCCACAACTCTCGTAACCTCCCTCTCCCGGCCAACAAAGTCATCTAGATCCAGGCCCAAGTTTTCTCTATCTTCCAAACAAGTAGTATGAAATACTTACAGCCAAGGGTGTGGCAATTGTATTCTCCAAGTTGAAGAGTGTCATCTTCAGTGTGCCCCACAATATTGTCCGAAAAAGCCCACATATTGACTTATATTTGTCATAGTATAAGATGACATTATTCATTTCTGATTTGATTTGATGTCTCTATGTTTTATATGTCCGTAATTGTTGTTCTTATCCTTTATGGTATTATATTACTGCCTTCATCATATCGTTGCTTCTTTATTTGATGTTACTGCAGTACTCCTACCACTACGTAATCATAATTCTTCCGATTAATCTTGCCCTCTAGTTAAGTATTATTCCGCCTTGTGCATCTTCTTCACTAAACTAACACTAACGTTAAAATCAATTCTTGTTACAAGATGCATCATGTATGCTGTACTGACATTATACTTATAATTTACTAGTTTGGTGATAAACGGCTACAATTATTCTTTTTTTCATTTTAATAAATTTAAAATATATACATTGTAAAAAAAAAAAAAAAAATCATTCCCATCCCTCTGTTATTGTTGATGGGGTCTTGGTACACCAGTATACACTCAGCTTCCACTGGACTTTTGCTTGTTTTTCACTAGTCTACAACTCTCATTCTAGAAGGACAACCTTATTTGGCAAGTTCCACAGATGAAGCCGAAGCCTAGGCAGTCATCAGAATTCAGAGGCTTAAGGAAGATGCTATCTGAAGGATCCTCCCAAGCTATCGTCTTTTCTAATGCAAAAGAGATTTTTTTTTTATTTAAGCTAAAAGGATCCTCAAGAAACATCAAATAGCATAAGCAGGCTTTGTTTGATCACATCTGGCATTCTCTATCTCTCTCTCTCACTGCTAATATATTATTAGTCTATGTTAATAGGGAAGATGTAATTATAATGAATCAAAACTCAAAAGGCCAGCATTACAACCAAAAAAAGGGAGAATGACCGATCAGCCCAGGGTCAGAATTTGTAAGCTCAAAGTACAGTTGGGGTGGATGCTAAGTGGGAATTGATGCTAATTCATAGACGGGCATTGGTGTATAGAGTGAAAGTTTTTGACCTTTTGAATGCTTATAGTTCTGCAGTGGAAATCAAAAACTTGCATTGGACCTATCCTTACTTTTCTGAAAAAAAAAAAGAAAGAAAAGAAAAGAACCTCTATTACCCTTGATGTTTGGTAATGGATCCTTCTATTTTGCCAGAAAAATAATAAAAAAAAAGAAATAAAATGCTTAATTTCAAGGTTGTTCATATCTTTAGCAGTGTGTAGACGTTGGGGACTCTAGCCTCCAAAATGACCATTCTCCTGAGACAGCAACGTTATATTAGGGTTTTAATTTGTTAATGCTGTCAATGGAGAGTGAACTTTGTATTTATTTGTTTTATTTAATTATTGTTTTTCTTCACCAACATATATAAGGGCATGAGGCAACTGCCATTCCTTTTTATTTGTTCACTATTTTAACTACTCATCCAATTTCTTGGTGGCTCGAATGTTGCATCTTTGTGACCGATAATATTAAATTACTAATATATTCCGAAACTGGAAAACGACATTTTCACACATTTCCACCTATTTATTTGCATATATGCGTCGTTTTTAGAAAGTGCAAGGGGCAATACCGTCCCTCTAAAGACGCTAAGTAGGGGGCTTAAACGAGTAAAACAATTACTACGTAAACTTGTTTTATTTCTAAGACATAGAATAAAACTTGCAAGTTAGAACTTGGATGGAAGAACGAACAGATAGAAACTATAGCTAGAAAGGGTCGTCTATTGCTTACCCTAGTTTCCGAAGATTCTAACTCTACACGGTGAGGGGGAGTGGGAGAGATCGATGTAACTGGATAACTGCGACATGATGCATTAAATTATTTGGTTTCTCTGATTCTTTTGGTAATCGGAAGATCCATGGTTCTTGCTCTCCACCTTGTTAGCCCTCTAGGATAATTTTCCAACTGAAGCAGGAGAGGGACGGGAAGATAAGAGGAGAGTTTTCAGGCGCACTGGAATATTGGTTTCTACCAACAATTGCATGAGCCGGGGCCAGGCCGATAAGTAGATCTCAACAGGTCGATAGACGGAGAAGAAGGATATCGAAAGAAAGATCAGAAGTGGGTTCTTTAGTGTTTTTTTTTTTTTTGTCTTTTTTCTTCTTCATGGATTTGAGGACAAGCAAGCAGAGGTTTATGTCCCAAAAGCTTATTTTCTACTGTGTGTCCATCTGTTTCTTCTCTATCTGCACTATCGTCAGCATTTCTAGCACCAAAAGTCCGTGTTTGGGTAAGAAATTAGAAAACTGTGATTTCTTCCTTTCTTTCCTTCTTTTAAAATTTTTTTCCTGAGATATGGATATATACCCATCTCGTTGTTTCGCCATCTGTTATGTTATTTATAGTGCGATCTATAACACATACCCTGATAAACTTGTTTATCGATTATCAGTCTTAACTTTTTCCTTGTTATTTTGCAGAAGATGTCATCACAAGCCCGTCTGTTAGAAAACTGGGCTTCCATTCCCAGGTAGGTTTGCAGCTCCAGCTTAAATGGAGTCTATTAATCTTTTGTTAATTTGTCCCTCTTCTATACACCAGTGTGCTCTTTTTTTTTTCTCTTAGATTACGCCGATGGCACACAGTGCTCAAGAGTCAAGCTAGGCCAGGCCAAGACAGTGGGGATTCAAGATGAGAAAGCCATTATTGGTGGTACGAGCAACGGATTATCTTCCAATGGCTCGGAAATTACCAGTAAAAGCTACCGGCGCAATATTATCCCGTTGGCCGTGGCTAGGGGAAGGAGTAGTAAGCACGGACCACTTATCCCGTTCGCCTCGAATTCCTGTTGTTTGAGGGGTGAGATTTATTTGGGCACATCCCATATTTGATAAAAGGCGGCTCCATTTTAATAAAACATGGGATGTGCCCAGATAACTCCCCACATTTAATTCTTTGTTACAAGAGTTAACGGCAAAAATGCGCCGGAAAAACCCATGGGATCGCTCCTTACTCCTTTGACGCATTATGATTATTTATGGTCCATCGAACGACTAGGACCAAGTGGGATCACAAAGCCGCAGAACCACACAAGTGGGAGAGGTGGCACATCGAAGCAAAGCTCTTTGACGGTTTTAATGGGAAAAAAACGAAAGAAAGAACCAATAACGTACCGGGAGGGGGGGTGAAGGGGTGAGTGGAGTTCAAAATATGAAAAATCTCCTCGTCTGAGTCTCCTCTTTTCCAAACTCCAAAGTTGGGACTTGGGTAACACGCGCCGGTAGCTTCAGCGCGGTAATCGGAGGCATGTTTTCTCGAAGCTGAAGCTTCTCCCGTGAACCATGTCTTATAGTAAGATGTGATTAGAAATACATTGGCACTTTTGTTGGATGGGGAGGGGTGAAAATACGTTTTTGTACAAGAATCTTAAACTCGATATAGTACTAATTGCTTGTTATTTGATAGGAAAATTTTGNCCCACCCACCCTAAAAAAAAAAGAAAATAATTAATAGATAGTAAGAAATGATTTGAACATTCAAATTAATGCAGAAGTTGGAGAACGCTACTGCAAATGGAAGAGGAGCAGAACCTTTAGTCTCTCCGGGCAAAAGCGGGCTCTCGAACAGGAGGTATCTGAGTGGACCGGGATCTTCTCCACCTCGATGTACGTCCAAATGCGGCAAGTGTACGCCATGCAAGCCGGTTCATGTGCCTGTCCCTCCGGGAACGCCGGTGACAACAGAATACTATCCGGAGGCCTGGAGATGCAAATGCGGCAGCAAACTGTACATGCCTTAGAAGTTAGAGCTTAACAACATTTCTTTCCAGTCCCCCCCCCCCCCCCCTCTCTCCTCTCTCTCTCTCTCTCTCTCTCTCTCTCTGAGTTTATTTATAATATTGCCTATATTTACATTTTGAGTTGGTGCCCTTCAATTAATTTCTCCCCCCTTGCACAGTTGCACTTGCCCAGGCCGGGCCGATTGTACCTTTGGAAGAAAGTAGGTGAGAACATTAGAAACCACCACCTGCCTAAAGTATTAAACTAGGCATAATATGCAGTAGCCTAGCTAGGGAGGTCTTGTATGGGAATGGGATCACAAATTTATATCTGCGTATTTATTAACTAATTATATTATTGGAATGTCTGATGATTGACGTGTATGAAGGAGAGATATAATATACAGTACTTTTTTCTAATGGTATACTACTTATTTCGTCGATCTTTCTCCTTAATTTCCTTCACTATTGTTCTTGTATTTGGCTTCATTCATCTAATATTAGAAGTGGTAATAACAAATTGAATAAGCACACATGGCATCTGTATGTGCAGCATCATCGATTATCATCATAATTTGCGTCAGCTGGATGCATGAGAATAAAGGATTATAAAGAGTTTTAGTATATGTTTGAAATCGATGCATCAATTTCAGAAAATGGTGCTGCTGATATATGGTTTGGAGTACTGTTTTTTGAAAAAATGGTGTATTTATTTTTTGTTTGAAACCATTGCTGTTAAGTAGGATATTTTTTGGAGCAACAATTTTTTCTGTTTGATACTATTGCTCCAAAAAACATTTTCAGCACTGCTACCCATTATCCAATACCACATCACTGCTCTATTGACAATAACTAGCTGTAGTTTCAGGAAATACCAAATTTGACATTATTCCAAACCATGACTTCTTGATTCCCAAGATATGACTTGAAACACAATTTTTTATAAAAGATAATTCCAAACAAATGCCTGTTTCTTAAAGCACCATTTTTTTTAGATGTAACATTATTGTAATGCCATTACTCCAAAAAACAACAACGATGTCAAACAGCCCCTGAATATTACATGCACTTCAACTTAACCAAACCGACCGACAATGCTATAGGTTGGTGTTGGGAGGTATTGGTACTTTGGTAGGTGTTGCGGCGGCAGCAGCAGCAGCCGGGAGAGGGACATGTAGAGAAACAAACCACCCAGAAGGCGGGAATATAATAGAAAGGAACTTGTTCCATTCCACTATATATATTCTTTATCCAACACAATCAAAGTATATATGTGAATCTGTTTCTCTTTTTACCTTATTAGAGAAATTGAATGCATTTCCCATCATTCTAGGACTAGTAGTCCACACACCAGAAACAAGCCAAATGACACGACACGCTATTATTCCACTCCAGCGGCCCCCACCACAACAGTGCCGCCTCCTTTAGTCCTTCCGCAATCCCATGCCAATCCGCCTTGTTGGTGTCAAACGAAAAATATATAAAACAAGAGTAAACAATTACAACATGAAGCTGAATAGCTAATCTATCTATATAATATTTGATTTAGTTATTGTGAAGGTTATAAAAATTAAATTCAAATCTCATATATAATAAAAGTCCTATATAGTACTTGCTCTTATACTTAATCAAAAAAATAATATTAGTATTTTCGAAAAAATGTTTTCAAATTAAAGTAAATATACTGTAGTGTGGTTCAGTTGGCATCTTGGAGTCTAAGGCCCGTTCATTTTTCGGTAAGTTATTTATCCGGGTAAATTCAATTACCTAGGTAATTGAGTTTTTTCTGATAAACACTTATTCAGATAAATACATTTATCCATATTCTTTTATTTCTCAGGTAAATAAAGCAATGACTATTTTAGCCACAGAAATCCATTATTAAAAGGGGTATTTTTGTCCCATTCAAATGTTGGCAACTTTCCCCTATGTGGAAAAGTTATTTATCCACCTAGGAGATGGTTATCACTTTCTTGGGAAGTAATGCCTATGAAAATAAACTTTCAATGATTCCTACATAAAACTTAAAAAGAACATGGGATTCTTAGTCAATAGGAACCAAAATACCATTGACCAACTTCCCCCCCTCTCCAGATCCAAAAAAAGAACGCCCCCTAAGATCCACCCGCATCTAATTTCAATTCAATTAACAACAGTCCTACACAGACGAAACCCATCCAAAATCTAGTAGTAATATAATTTGAGGTCTGTTACGCTCTGTTTAGGAAGAACACAAATACAAACTAAATATGTTTTAATGCAACATCTTGTATGCTGTCCATATTTGTATTCGTAAACCATCTATTTGCATTCTTTCAGAATCACATCAGATTTTTTCTAATACTTCTTGATTTGCTAAACCATCTTAATTATAGAACTAAACATAGAAAATACAAAAACTAGAAGATCAAGAAATAATTAATGATTATTGTCCTTGCACTTAAAATAAATTTGTTTGAATGTTATAAAATAAGCAATTTAATAATTCTAACCTCTATAAAATTATATATAATTACAAAAGAGTTTGTGTATATTATAATTGTAATATATGTGCATATGCGTAATTATATAATTTCTTATATAAAATATAACCAGACTAGAGTATTAATCATATCAAATATGGGTGTATCCAAATACATCCTGCTTAGCAACCTCTTAGATGTAGCAAGTGCCTTTCTTCTATAGATTTTAGTTTGAGGTTAGGGTTGAGCATGGATTAGTTCGATTCAATTCCAAGGCAGACCTTGAGACTTGCCTTTTAAGGGTCGGTTCTAGGTTTTAGGAATCAGAACCACTATTCTATCAAAATTAGATCTAGGGTCTACCTTTGGAACCTATTATTTTTTTACCCCCCTCCAAAAAATTTAAAAAACAAAAAACTCTTCTTTAAAAACATGATTTTCAAATAACAACAATATGGTTTAAAACTTATAGTACATTTATTGATTGATTAAATTGAGTAATTTAATCTGTATATTATCATAATATCTTAATATATAGTTTATAACTCAACATTATAAACTACATTTTGTAAATATTACTTTTTACATTATTTATCATACACAATCAAATATTAAATTGAAGAAAAATGACAAAATCACTTAAGCGACTTAGTGGTCAAGTCAAACCATGATTTTTGTAACCCTGAATGTTTGGGTATCCTTAAAGTTTT